TCCTCCGGTCCATCCTCGCAGTGGGAGCACCCGGGCGTTTCCTCCCGCCCGATTCGGTGCAGGAACCTCCCGAACACACCGTGTCCGGTGAGGACCTGCGTCAGGCGGAAGGTGAGGATGCCGTGGCGTCTCTCAAGCCACTCCTAAGAAAGAGGGGTCTTATCGCCGCTATAGTGGCGTGCCCAGCACGGGTTTGCGACAGTCGCTCTCTCCATGTCACCATGAGATCCTGCCGGAAGTCTGTCCGCTGCGCGACAACTTGCCGCGGCAGCGGGGTTTCCCCCCGGCATAGTGCCTCCGCGCGCCATTCGTGCAGGCGCGCGACGTCTATCGCCTCCAGATCCCATAGCGGCAATCCGGCAAGGAGGCTCGCCGCCTCGCGAGAGATCGTGCGGTAGCCGCGAACCATTTTCACGGCAACCACCCTTTGGGGCGCGTTCAGGTGGTGGTCGGCAAGCCGCGCCAAACCACGCGCCCACACCGGGGCCCCGTAAAGGGCCATGGATCGCACGATCCCCGCGTAGAGCCTCCGGCAGGAGGCATTTGGCCCCCCCAGGTTGCCCCAGGCTGCCTTCTTCCCCTTCTTTTTGTCCCCCACCACCTGCCAACCGGCTTCAGCCGCGGGAGTTGTAGGGAGCTGGGGGGGCGGTGTCGGTGGCGGCAGCTGGCTTGCCGCTGGCGCTGGCACATTCGCTGCAGGCACTGGTGCTGGTGCAGCCACCACCTGTGCTGCCGCAGCCACCACCTGTGCTGCCGCCTTGCCCTTTTTCGCTTTCCTCTTGCCTCTCTTTCCCGTCGCCAGCTTAGCCGGAGCCTTTTCAGGGGGGGGGAGGGGCAACTGCAGCCCCGCCCGAGGGCTGGCTGGACGGCCCCCGGCCTGGATGCGGCAGCCGTGGCCGCCGCGTACGAGACCGTTGCCGGCCTCGCCGCTGTCTTGTTTGCCCCTAGAGGGGGGGGCGCACGGGCTGGCTTGGGCGCTGCGTCTGGGGCGCCGCGCGAGAGGCAGGCTCACGTAGACTGGCCAGGTCTGCGCGGAGCTTCTCGTTCTCCTTCTGGAGAGTCTCCATGGCGGACGTCAGGCGGGCCACGTCCGCCCGCAGCTTCGCCACCTCGTCCGCATTAGGCCCGGCCCCAACAAAGTTGGCCTCCGCAGCCGCCATGATGGAGGCGGAGGCCCCGTGGTTCACCAGCGCCAGTCGCACTCGTCTCTTCGCCTGATACCCGAGCCGTATCGCCCGGGTGGCGCCCCTCCTCTGCAAGTTTTGCCGCTCGTTCGGCCCTCTGATTGGCATTCCCCTTGCCTCTCATCCCGCCCCCCCTGTTGGTGGGGATTTTCCGGGCCGAAGCCTCCTTTTCACCGGATGACGGCCCCTGGTCGCCATCCCGCCTGGACCGCTTGCGGAAGAACTTACTGGTCTCCGCGGTCCCAGGCCCCACGCGTCGGGAGCTCTCTGGGCCTCCCACGCTGCTTGATGCGGCGTCGGACTCTGTCCCCGCATCGTTCCTCCTCTCCTCTACGTTGCCGTTGCCGCCGGTTTTGGTTTTGGTTTTGGTTTTTCCATTTATGTACCCACGAGTATGGGGGGAATTAAAGGTCCACCTTGGCAGAGACCCCTGTACCAAGGTAAGCAGATTTAGAGGATTTATTACTCGCCAGGGGGGTCTGCAGGTACCCTGGCGAGGAGCGCACTAGCGGCTGATTTGTTCATAGAACCCCGTCGGCAATCCATCCCCTCGCGGTGTGTCGCCGCTTGGGATTCGGAGTAACTTTTTATAGAGGTTTTCTCCCTCGCGGTCCGGGCCATTAAGCCAAGACCCTCGGTCTCTATCAAAGTCGCGAGTACTTGATCCACGACACTTCGATACTGGGATTACGAGACCGGCGATGACAGCAAAGGATGAATCCTTCACTGTCTGCCCGGAGGCAGGGTAAGTGCACACCGAGCCCGCCCTCACTCCTCAGCTATGCCCTCTGCTAATCAGAGGGTCACGCAGAGGAACGCACTGTTGGTCCGGGACGGACCCCCCCCCCATGTCAGAATAATTAGCCGCGGCAGCAACATTCCCCAAGGAATAAGAATTTCTTCTCATTTCTCGAGGAAGATTACCGCCGCGCCCAGGGTGCCCAGTTAATCTACCCTACAAGTAATTTAAATGCAAAAATTACATACATTGCAATCGTCTAAAATGTTTTTGAGTGTTAAGTAAGTAAGTTTTCACATTAATAATAAAATTAAGAACTTTCACTTAAAAACCAATTTTAAACTTTTTAATTTGTAGATGTGACTCGCTAATTCGGCACGAAAAATTCTCAATGACATGAGGTGTGTAGTGTTGCCAGTGGGAGTTGTATAGGTTGGGATACCAGTAAAATATTATTTTTCCTCCAGAAGGTTAAAACTCGTGTGATTCGGTCCGTCAATTCATGACTACATAGTATATACACAGAGCACAAACGCAGACCACCTCCTCTTCTTTAACTAATATAATTAAACTTTATGGTGCTCGAAACAACTTATAACGCCATCTATATAAAATTATGGTAGTTTATTTATTATTACAGTAAAATAAAATTTATATGATATTTAGAAAATAACGGGTAGGAATAATATAAAAAGCAACTCAAAATCGGGTAACGTAATTTTTCATTTACACGACCATGTAAATTTTAAAACTTTTGGAAATAATAATATAATAATAATAATTATGTTTATTTCTCCTCACAAATACCAACCATACGTAATAAAAACTTATATCTATTTAAATACAGGTATGTTCATACTCATAGCCTAGAATCCGTGAAGAGCTGGTGTTTGAGATAAGCTATAAAATGCCTGTGGGTATTACAAATCACCAAATTAAGCTCATCACCAAAACACAAAATTTAGCTCGAGACTAAGCCTGCTCGGGACAAACGGAGCAATAAGTCAAAGGTGCCTCCAGCCACGATATCCGTGAATTTCCGCAACATCAGGGGACGTCATTCAAGCCTTAACTTCGTCCATTACCATCTAGAAATGGCGAAGCCGGCCTTGCTCTTTCTAACCCAAACACAAGTGTCCTCTCCGGCTGATACGTAGTATCTCTCCTACCTGAGGTAAAAATTAGAATACTTCTCTGTGCCACGGGCTGGAGTTTGCGTGTACGTCAGAGAGGACATCCGTTTTCGACGCCTCGGCAGCCTTGAAGGTACGGACCTGTCCATCTTATGGCTACGCGTAGACAGACCCATAGCGGTAGTGCCGACGCAGACCAACTCATCGACCACTTACAAATGGCTGCAGACTCCATGCTACAACAGGTCCCATCCACAGAGATCGTTATGCTTGGTGATTTTAACGCCCACCACGTTGAATGCTTGGTTCCAGCTTAACCGATTACGCGGTTAAATCTGTTTATGACTTTGCTTCAGCGTATGGTCTGACACAACTGATTACCTCGTCAACACGGATCCCAGATATAGAAGATCATGTACCTTCCTTTTGGGACCTTCTGCTGACATCTCATTCGAACGGATATCAGGTCTCCGTCGATGCCCCTCTTGTCTTCTTGGACCATTGTCTGACCGGAGTATCGTGCCACTAACGCTCCCATTGCGGTTGCGTAATGCAGGTTGTTGCCGTGCTTGGCATTATAGTTCAGTCGATTGGGACGGAATGCGATCGTTTTTAAACCTACCCTTAGGGGTGGGTTTGATTTTTACCGGATGATCTTAGCGTTGTGTTGTTGCTGATTCTGTCACTGATGTGATGTTTTAGGGAATAGAACTTTTTATTCCAGCATCTGTGGTACCTATCGGAGGCAGAACTCCGCCATGATTTGGTCGCTCCTGCAAAATTGCGTTACGCCATAAACAGGAGTGCTACCAGACCTTAGCCGATGCATCGACACTTCGCCTCCAGGTCCTTCAAAAGTGTCATAGCGAAGGAAAAATTAGAGCACATCAGCAGAATCGGCGAGAAACTAGTTCGGAAACACGTGCATTCTAGTCTCTCGTCAAGGTTTGCAAAGGGAAATTCTGTCAACTATAGAGATCCCATCTTCTACACATGTCACAATAACAGGTGGAATTAATTTTTAGCCTAAGTTCATTCTGGAGATTGTTAAATCTTCTCTTAAGTACATTAAAGAGCCATTGTAAGGAATGTCTGGTTGTTATCTTAGAATAATTATATCTTTTTTAGTTGGTGTCCTAAGATTCAAAATTGGGGTTAATAAATAAGGTCGATATGGATAATCACTATCTATTTAATAACAATGAATTAAGGCAATTCTGTTAATTTCTCTCAATGCATAAATATAGTAAGTATTATTAAGAGCACCTATCTCGTCTTTGGATAAGGGAAGTAATTCTATATCAATGATAAGACTTGTTTTTCTCTCAATGATTATAGTAAGTATTATTAAGAGCACCTATCTCGTCTTTGGAATCCAGTTGCATAAAATTCATTCGCTACCTATTTGCTATATATTGCTATTATTTGCCAGTTTTTCTGTTACTCTTTTAATGAATGATAAATGAATATTGTAATAAATGAATTGATAAACACATAAGTTGAGTATTCAGTATTTGGTTCACTAGCTACAAAAGGACTATTTAGCTGCCGAATACAAACCAAAATAAAACATTTTCTTTGGGTAAGAGGCTCTGCGCAAGAAATTCCTCTTCATATCAGTTCTACGATTTCCTGAAGGAGTTTCGTTGTCAGAAAGGATAGATTTACGTACGAAATAGTTGTTTTAGCGCTTGTAAAATGTTTAAAAGATTTGAGAGACCTCGCCAACATATCGCACATCTAGTTCTTTAAAGTCATAAATGTCAAAAAATGTAAAAATGAGTTAACTATGCCACAACTTTCCTTTTATACGAATCTATTGAGTGCTTAAAAATTGTTTTTTTAATTCAACAACATATAAATGCAATTCCACGAGTCGAAAGCCACTATATTAGGGCTAATACTAGCCGTGAATTCATTGACGGTGGTCTTACTGTTGCTGCAATGTATAGACACTATAAACAGGAAAGAGAATCCACTCAAAGTATTGCTGCAAAATATGAGTTTTACGCACATATATTTAATACGGAGTTTAACATTTCTTTTTTCACACCTAAAAAGGATCAATGCGACCTGTGTGAATCGTATAAAAATGCGTTAGATGAAGAAAAAGAGGCTTTAGAAGACGGCTATAAAGATCATCAAAAACAGAAGGAACTTAGTAGAAAAGAAAAAGCAGAAGATATTAAGTCTTGCAAGGAACCTAACAGCTCTAAAATTGTTGCTATTTATGATCTCCAGGCTGTTATGCCTGTGCCAATTGGAGAAAGCTCGGCCTTTTTCTACAAGTCAAAATTAAACTGCTATAATTTCACGGTGAGTGTTTATTGATTCTTGTTAATTTATATATTTAATAATATTCCGTGCGTTACATTATATATTATTGCCATTTCAGGTGTCTGATATCAAAAATACGACCACTAGATGCTACTTTTGGCACGAAGGCATAGGGAATCGAGGAGCAATAGAAATTGGAACATGTGTTTTTGAATTTTTAAAAAATATTGCTGAATGCCAGCCCAACTGTGACGTGATTTTTTACTCAGACAATTGTTGCGGTCAGCAGAAAAATAGGTACTTTTAGCAATAGCTACCTTGTTGCACTCACGCACTTACACACAATACACACAAGCAAACACTATCTACTCGCGCACAGCTATTTAGAAATAAACTACTTATATATTTATTTTACAGATTCATACTTGCGATGTATCACTATGCTGTTTCGACACTAAATATCAACTCGGTGACTCTCAAGTTTCTTGTGCGTGGGCACACACAGAACGAGGGTGATAATGCCCATTCCCTAATCGAAAAAGCTATTAAAAAGGCTAAAAAATCTGGCCCCATCTATGTGCCAAGCCAGTATGTTCAACTTATACGGAATGCCAAAAAATCCGGAAAGGCCTTCATAGTTCAAGAACTAAATTACGATGACTTCGTAGATCTAAAAGCATTGTGTGAGGAAATAGGGATGAATACTTTAAAAGGAATTGACGGGAATGCAGTGAAACTTACAGAAATCAGAATGATCCGTTTTTATAAGAACCGAGATGAATATGAATTCAAAACTTCGTATGAGGAAGAAAATTGGACGAAAGTTTCAATTAAAATCAGATCTGGAAAGGGACGCAAAACACGAAGAGATAATGACGATGTTCAAAATGTAGTTATGAAACCTGCATACAATTCTCAAATAGCCATATCAGAGCGGAAGAAAAGAGATTTGTCACAATTGATTCGCGACAACATTATTCCAAAGCAATATAGCTATTTTTATAATTCTATTCTTTAAATTTGCTGCACCATGTGCTTAAAAAATAAGAAACCTACTACTTAATTAACAATTGTATTTACAAAGAAGAACACTTTTTGTTCGTTAGCCCAAAATGTTATAATGTTGATGAAACTGATTCTTTAAACGTATAATAAGTAAACTTTGAGTTAAGTTGAAGTACTTAATTATTTGAATCACTTACCCTCCGACTTTGTAATGCTTAAAAATAGCATTCTGATGTGTTAATAATAAGTTGTAATTTTTTTAATGTCTAAGGAAAGTTTTCTGTGATTACTGTGCCATGATTATGATAAGTAAGGTAAACTTAGCTAGTACGGTTAGTGAAAAACTCAAAATTTTCTTTAATTAGTTTACAAGTTGTTAAGTAACATAAATATGGTCAAATAAATAGTTAATTTCACTATTTTCGTGTTTTATTTACAATACTACTATAATCATAATTGTCATAAGTTATTGAAGTGACACAATTTAGTGCAAGAACGCCACAAATGTGGGTCTTGTTGCAGTTTTTTGCATTTATTTAAATGTTTTTATAAATATTATGTCAATTTTTTTTTAATTTAAATCATACATTATACGAACAAAGTTAAAAAAAAAAACTTTGCAATCATATATCACACCAAACCTAGTAATAAACACAGTTATAACAAAAACAAAACTTTAATGTGCTCTACTGTAAAATTAAGAAAATGACATTTATGACTTTAAAGAACTAGATGTGCGATATTTACTTTTACTAAGTACTCAAATCAATTTGACATCAAATTTGTTAAAGCGCATTGAGAAACGTTTCAATACACAACTTTTTATCTAAGGAATATTTAAGCGCAACTCAATTTGATACACAACTAAGTTTAAGAGATGCTTAAAATTTGCATTTGAGAATACGAACAAAGAGTTTTGGAACTACTCAAACCTTTAACAAGCCATTAAAAATTTGAGGGACGTATCAGTATTCGGACATAAATGTTGTATTTACCGTGTATTGGCGATGTAACAATATCTACTACCCCATATGAACCCATGGGTGTAATACGACTAATAGGCGAAAGATGGAAATAAATCAGCAGACGATCATCAGCCTCTTCCTAATAAGGACTAAAAAAACTGTGCTTGTCAACCCGCTTGCCAAGCGCGGTAACTATGGCAAATATCCTCCAATAAGAAAGTCTATAGGGCTTATGTTCAGCCATAGAATACTATAATACATACATAATAGAACAGGGGAGTAGGCGGAGCCCTCGTAGCCACTAAAATGTCACTAAGACGTCAATTCACACGTATAAATGTCAACACGAGATTTGTTTTGACGTTAAAGACGTTTCCAAATTTCACATGCAAATTATTTGAAAAATGCCAAACTGCACCCTATTTACAAATAAATATGTGAACATTAATCAAAAGTCTAAAATGTGTAAATTTACTCAGTCTGTCAACACAGCGAATCGGGTTTGGCGACGTCAAACCTCGTACAAAATAAAGTTGACAGCCATTCTATTGCGTATTATAGTATTCTATATGTTTAGCAGTGGGCTTTATTAGTCTGTTCCGATTATTATTAACGCAGCTGTATTTCCGGATATATGCCTATTTTAAAATGATTTTAGTACTAAACTGTATAACAAATTGTGCTTTTGTCGGACAACGAAATTTGTGTAATTAACGCTTTGGAACTACAAAATTAAGTAATCTGTATAAATATGGTTGTGTATTGGTCATTTCGTTTAAATTATTCTTTTATTATACAAACTGAAATTGTTTAAGTACGTGTTTATTATTATATATCTTTTTAGTGAGATTTTACTTCAACTCCCGTTTATATTTACATTAAGTCAGTTCTATATAACAATCGCACTTATTATGCGGTAGCCTTAAATGGTAAATCGCATTGTCCTACCGTAACAAAAGCCAACTTGTCTTCAAGACATCCAGGTTGTAACTAAGTGGAGAGACAGTCACGCTGCAGCACGTGGTAGATGCACACTGCAGCTACACCGCATGCACACGGCAGCGTGTTAGAGCCACGCTGCAGTTATATTATGGTTGTTGCACGAATGGGTTAGCTTGGCCAGGGTAAGACAAGGCTATCACAGAATACTAGCATATAAAAGGAGCTTAAGATCCTTTTTACTGGAAACGAGGCATTCCATCTCAGTCCTTAAGGTTAAATGTAGATGTCTATGGGCCACTGCATCTGTTTACAATCAGGTGGACTTTTAGTCACCCTTATTGTATTAAAAAAAAACACTATTTCCAGTGTTTTTGTAATGACATTGTTTTATATTGCTTTAAAGATAAACAGGGGAAGATTTCAATAGGAAACTTAGCCCGGACTGACAGACAGAGAGAAAAATGTATTAAATACGGTTATTCACGTCTTAATGCTATGCAAAAAGCATTAAGACATGCATAACCGTTTTTAAGTCCTCACCTCAAAGACTATTCTGATATAACAGACAGATACTTAAATTTTATCTTTATGCTTAGATGCATACTCGTAGATAAAAATTTTCAGTCACACTTGCCACAGCTGGGCATTTCATATTTAAGAGGTTTAGGGAGCAATTATTCCGCCTTTGTTTTCCACTTTACATTTAAATGTCCTAATTTTTTATTTCTCAGTTATTCAGGTTCATCAAGATAATATACTTCACCGGCGAGCACGTGTTATGTTAGCACTTGAAATTGAAATTAATATTATTGAATCCCACCGGGACCGAACTAAGGTTGCTTAATATTTTACTTACTTACTTACTTATCTTCACGCACTATCCCTAACGGGGTATCCAGAGAGAACAGATCGCCAATTGTCACGATCCTTACATACCTCTCTCGCTTCTTTCAGGTTCTTCATTCCTTCTTCGTACATGCACGTCTAGGTATCCGAGTACTCTTGACCTTCCCCTCTTCGAGTAATTTGCTCACATGGTCTTCGAAAGTTAGTCTCGGTTTACCTCGACGCCTTTTAATATTTACTTTCGCGCTATATATTTTCTTCACCATTCGGTCTTCACTCATTCGCTCAACGTGCCCAAACCATATATACATATATATACATATAATATTTTAAGTTACATATAAGTTATATATTGTACATATTTTTAACAAAAGCTCCATATCATATGTTCTAAATTAAATATACATTAATGGGGTAACACGTATGGGGTTGTTTCTTTCTTATAACCGATGTGTCCAACTAACTGTGATTCAACTAGTTAAGATAAATTACCAACACCAGGTTATAAGTTGCAGCATAACCTGAGTAAATTGCGGTATTGAAATATAACAATAGTTTGTAATAGAGTCGCTCTGCTGCTAAATTACTGTTTGAGCACATTTGGGGCAGCGTAATCTACGGAAGCCCGAGATTTTTTTGACATGGCAGAGCAAGATTTCAGCTATCATTATAATTGTAGCACGAAAAGGTTGAATTAACCGGGCTAGGACCATGCGTTCACATAATTGTTGCGTAAAGTAGCGGCTTAATTCTGTTGTGTTTTTTTAAGGTGAGTGTAGAGGTCAGAGGACCATTTTACTAGAAATAAGGCAATACATCTTAGTCCTCAGGGGTGATAACCCATCTGCATTTTGATTCTTAATCGAGGACAAATGTGGATATCTATGGACCACTGCATCCACCTACCATCAGGTGGTCATTATGCTCGTTTGTCACACTCATTTTATAAAACAGAGCTACTTTGTAAGAGATCTTTTTGCCTGCGTAAAATAGCAGAATAGAACTGTTCTGTTCCATGGTGACGAGAACAGCAGATATTTATTACTGGTTTCAAGGCATTTAATATTAGTTTTCAGGGCGACAGCGGGGTATTTTGATTTTTAATTGTGGATAGATGTGAGTTTCATTAAATAATCATAAATTGAAGAAATTACAACTATAATTTAAGTGCCTGATTGATGGACCAAAAGTAATAAAAGAAAGCTATCAAAATTTCTTCACGTCTCTTTATTTCAAATAGGTTTATAACTAAGCGTCCTATCTTTTATAGATATTTAGCCAGGTTATTGGTAGGTTATTGGACAGAATACGAGTAAAATGATTCGTACTTAATTTAAAAAATAAGGAACAGCAGTGTTTATAATAGCTTAACATTTGAACTCTAAAAACGTTTGCTGAAAAACGCTTTTACTCGAAAGTAAACTCTTGGCTAAGTCAATAAAAAATCTTACAGAAAAGCGAAAAGTTTTTCTTAAAATAAATAAAGTCTTTAGTATTTCTTCGTCGACCTTTCAAAATTGATCTCAAATCATCCAACAGTTGCCGATCGATATTAAGTAAAAGAAGATTTACACAGGCCGGAATTTTACTTTTTAATAATTTTTTTTAGAAAAGCGCCGTGAAAATAAATTTGAGTCTTGTGGTATATTTAAATTACCAGAGAACCAATAGTATATGATTTTAGTTCCATGGAGTAGAAGTAGAGCTATTGTGTAAGGTGCTACGTAAGTAGACACTATGACGGCCTCGCATCGTAGAGGCACTTGATTTAGGCCTGGCGCGTATCAAAAAGGGCCAAACTGAGTCGATCTGTCTATCTGAACTGTCATTGATGGTAACAAGACGACGGGTTCTTTTCTAGTTCAATCGCTAATTATAGTCATTTAACAAAATATTTGGCCAACGTTCTTTAAATTTCCAGTTTCTATATTAATTTATTTTGTAAATATTTTATGTATTAAAATAGACTACAAAACGAAACTTTTACTACAATATTAAATACTATATAAAATTCTACTCACGTGTATAGAATTGAATACAATTGGATAGAATATTTTTTATTGAATATAGATTAAAAGTAATTCTTGTTGAAAGTCATTTTTTTACTTTACTACATGTTCGAAAAAAATCTGCCCTGGGAAGAACCAGCAAGAAACCCAGCGGGACATATATTTTTTTTAAATAAATTTTACAAAGTCAATGGTCTCAAAATATTCGTGCTAATAATCAGACAGACAGACAAACTAAACATTTAAAATGTTTTTTTATAAGTTAATAACATGCAAATAACCCTGAGATTAATGAAAGCCAGTTATTTCAATATAACAGGCTGACCCCTCAATTTTATTTAAATGTATAAACTGTCACAACATCTTCTTGCGTGCCACAGTTTTCTCTAATCACACACTTTTCAACACTAAAATACTTCTTAATGATTGCATTTCTACAACATTAAATTCTATCGCACACTTCTTCGGTCACGGTCGGCAACCGCATCTACATATTTTTATTTTTAGTCGCTGTTAAGAAGACGCTGCTGTCTTCTCATCACTTGATTTGACCTGCTGGTCTCCTGATTTATTTCTTTCTATCGCCTTTTACAACGCCCATGGTACTGCGTACGTCATGTATCCATGGGGTAGTGTATGGGGTAGTGAATATTTTTCTATCGACACTACACGGTAAACTTTAAATTTCATTCCCTTGCATTTTGTAAGTTTATTACCGACCACCGAGTTCTATAGTAACTCCCTCACAATTCGGGCTACACGCCTTTGGAACTCCTTGCCCGATGACATCAGAAAAGCTCCCAATAAGTACACTTTTAAAAAAGTTGGTCCGTGATCATTTCTTAAAGACAATGCATTTTACATGACTCATCTTTTTAATATGTATTGCCAAACAGACGTATATATTCATAGTCATTTGTATATACTAATTATGTATGTATTGAAATATATATATACTTGTATGTATATCCATTTATTTATATATTTGTATATATGTAAGGATAGACCATATATGTATAGTTTATTTATTAGTAGTTTGTATATATTATGTAGTTAATTATCATTTGTATATTGTTCTCTTATTGCCACTGGTAGAGAATGCCTCAAGGCATTAAGTCCTCCC